AATTTGTAATGTTAAGTAAATTCGTGATATTAATCAATATTTTATTTATTTAGAAAATATAATAATTATGGAGACACATCTGAGAGCAAAATTAATCACTTGATCACAGCACAGTATTTATGAAATCTGTGTCATTTTTAACGCAATGCAGATATTGATATTTCTTGAGAATGATTAGTTTCAAAAAATTGTCTTTTATTGCTGTTATCAGCTGGGGTTTCTGGTATTAAAAGAGCCATTTTTATAATCGATTTAATAATTAATAAATTATTCTAAATATCTTTATTCTATTTAGTTCTATTACTTCTGAGCATTTTTATTTATTTTGTTCATAAGTCCTAAGGGAGGTTTTTATTTAGTTTTATTCTGCATAATTTTAAAAATGTGGTATTGAATCTTTTACTTCTGAGTCCAATGTTCTAAATCGTACAACAATTACCGTGGACGAGAGATCTTCAAAAATAAGGATTGGTAGAAATAAATACTTTAAGAAACGTATTTCCTTTTTTTGTTTCAGATAAGCTCCTTGTGTACGATCTTTACTTTTAAAAATCTTTCTAATGAATAATTTATAGTACGATTGAGTGTTTGAATTTTGAAAACTGTTAAACAAGAAGCATTACGTTTATGATAAAGAATACTTTAGATAATTCCATTTCAGCAGTACTAATTTAAAATATAACCAACAATTCATGATATTATTCAGTATATTCTTAATTGGGAAAGTAATAAGGATGGAGGAATTTCTGTGCAACACCTCAATTAACCACAACACTTTATTTAGGAAATCTGCGTCATTTTAATTGTAAACAAATGAAAGATTATAAATTACAATGGAAAGTATTTGCCTCATAAAGTCATAAAGTGTCCTTTTATTGCTGTTACCTGCAGGGTGCGATGACCCGGGCAACCCCTAGGCCTTTCGGCAAAAGAAACTTTCGGTAATATACCATCTAGATTAGTAGGAAACAAGTTCCTGACAGGTAAATGCCATCCTATCCTAGGAGTACAAGGCTAGGACCACTTCTGAACTTGAGTACCCCTATTCCTTTCAAAGGTTCTATAAAATAGTCTAGATAGTCTATGGTAAATAGTAAATAGTCTATTGTTTGGGTTCTATAAAATAGTCTAGAATCAATGGCTAAAGCTGACAAAAAGCGAAATTTTTTTTTATACCTGCATTCCACCCTGGAATTTTTAGGGTATCGTTGTGACGTATTGCACGACCCTGAGTCATTCAGTTCATTTTGATTGCCATTTGCAACCCACTAATAAACAGTGTACCGAAAGACCTGAAGGTCTACCTACCATAGATGCAGACTTTCCATTTTTGTAGGAATATATATAAAAATAAAATTGCATATATGGTGATGATTTATTTTTGTGAATGCCAAACTATACATCCTAGGAGAGTGAAATTGGACTCAACTGAAAATTAATCTTTATTTAATAAATGAGAGTAATTATTTATAAGGTGTGAAAATATTTCCATTCGCTTCTGTAAATTTAAGCGCATTCGTCTTAATAAACGTGAATTCATTTTTACTAGTGTAAATACAGCCATATTCATCACTTTTACAATGGTAAATACGGGCATATTTATATTTGCAACTGGGAATACGTATCATATTTATTCATATTTCTTTTTGTGAATATAAATATATTCACACAAGTGCTATAAATATATATGGTATTCATATTTATATTTTTGAATATAAAGGAGGAGGTTACAGCAAACTACTTGGGTTGAGCAAAATATTTTTATTTTTGCAATGGGAATTCTCTCAATATTTCATCAGATATAACACCTTTGATACCATGTTTTGTAAAACGTGATAAATAAAAATTTTTTGTTCTTAATTTTTCAAGCTGAAAAATTGCTTACTTTACTGGATATGCTATGTATTTTTTTGTAATTTAATGTACATTTGATTTTTTTTTTTTAATACGTTTAATACAATCTGCAATATATTTTTCTTATTTTTCCAAAAGACAACAACAAATGGATTGATATATTATAACCGAAAGATCCATGCTGATCAAAGGGAGAAAGCAATAATATTAAAAAATGTTAAAATTTTATATTTTTATTTCTCGGTTCCAAGATTTCGTTGGCATTTACCCGCAGGCATGGATCTAATAATTTTCGACCTAGCATCACCAAAAAAAGTTCATTGAAAACGGTGATCCTACGTGCATAATCTCCCATTGTTATAGTTTAACATAGCGTGGTAAAAAAAAAGTCATCTCTGAAGAAGTGTTTGTAATTTTTTCAAGTTGAGGAAGTGATTTTATCACGGGGAAATTAGAGTAAGTTAGAGAATAATAAACCAATGCTATTTTGCGCCAATTTAAAAGGCCTAGAACGATTATAATAATTAATTAGTTTAAGTTCAGATATAACTGTATCTTGTGGCTTTGCCATAAAACTGGAAGGATATTTTCCAATGGCACTAGCTAATCTTTTATTGTTTCTATATATTTTATGTGTTGAATAGACTATCATAGTAATATTGTATTGTATATAACTTAGGTAGGGATTCTTGGTATCATATGGAGATATATATATTATTACAGTAAGGCTCGAAATCGGTTTTGTACCAAATATAAACTCCTGTCATGCTCATATACCATGAATAGGGTACCGTTGGATTCAGAATTTCACGGGGAGGGGGGTGGGGGTAGCGAATCATATTCTCCGCTTTTGTTTTTCTTTCTAAAATAAATAAAGTCGATACAAACATTTTGCTAGGCTTCAATACTGGAACGGTGGTCGGTCTGTAGATCGATGCGGGACAAATTGGACCTTAAAGATTTTGATGCGTACTATTACCAAAAACGTACTATTTTCGAGATAACGCAAGGCATGGGGTTCGCAACCTGACGTTAATTGTAGTACTGTCATTGGATACATGTCTCATTTTGTCGACTTGAGGTCTCTATGATCGAGACAGGAGGAGTTTACATTATTTATCGATGGTGTTTTTGATCGGCAAGCCATATCATCGTTAATTCTTCACCAAATAGCAAGATTGAGCCATCAATTTCGAAGGCTTCCTTCTCCTTCAGGCGGGTAAAATAGTCCAAACACCCCGAAAATTCAGACAAACAAGTTATGAAAGAAAAGAAACTTTATTTGCGAATAACTAAATAATTACACACTTTTCCCTTGGTTATTCCCATGATTATATAAAACATTACTAATTGTCTACAAAATGAAAAAAAAAATCATCCAATTCGATTAGAAGATTTTCCAATATTTTATTGTTTTTCATTTTATTATTTATTTTTTCGTATTTTCGATTAATATTGATTGGGAAAGTTCCATTATAGCCCATTTTATTTGAAAATAGCTGTATATTCGGCATATAGCTATATTGTCAGTACGACGATGAAATAATGTGTATTGACCGAAGGAGGAAAGTGGGTTCAAATTTTTTTTTTTAAGGGAAAACAGAGTTGAGATTTGTATTTCGCACCTCTATAAAAGTTATGAAAGAAAAGAAACTTTATTTGCGAATAACTAAAAAATTACACACTTTTCCTCGGGTTATTTCTATGATTATATAAAACATTACTTAATTGTCTACAAAAGGAAAAAAAAAAATCATTCAAATCGGACAATTTTTAGCAAAGGTACAGCTTACTGAAATTTGTAAATATGTTGGTTCTAAACAAAAATGAAGATTTAAATTAATTTTGTTTTCTTTTTGGATTATATTTATGGATAAAGTAACAATTGATTTCTTTATCTTTTGATACGTTGCATTATTTTATTTTATTATTAATTTGGCATTTGATAACAATATGCTGTGCGAATTTTTCGCACGGGCCTACTAGTTACGAATAATTTTGTTAAGGTAATTCTTCGCCTATCTAGTAGCATTAAAGTATTTTGATACGACTATGCAGATTTTTACTAATAATTTTAATGAAAATAAATGTATGATAGTTGACACAGTATTTTGGGATGTAAACAATGTTACATTTTAGTATAGTATTTTTTGGCTAGTAACGAAAATATTAATTTAAATAATATTAAATTTAGAGAGACATAAAATGTATGCACCTTATAAAACAGCTGGTCATAAAATAGTATTTCCATACTACATGCTGAACCCAAGGTTGTATTTTCCAGTTTTATTATTTAAAACAAATTATTGAGTGGAAGAATGGAATGCTGTGTACTTATTATTACTTAATGATAAGTCATATGAATAATTAGTGGTGCCGAAGAATTTTTCCTGTAAATCAGTAAGATATTAATTAATATTTATTGTAAATTAACAAATGAAATGCTTATACCTCTTTCATACCACACTTTCACATTTTAGCCAACAGTACGTAGAACTGACATGAAAATATTTAACTATTATAGATCTACAAAAATGTTAAATTGTTTATAGTTTTTGTTAGGGGTAGCTTAAACTTGAATGTTATTTGGTATTTATAATAAATGTTTCACATTAAGCATTTCGGTTTTATGCCAAATCATCAGAATATTAAAATCGATAGCAATATTATAATTAATGAAATAATTAATTTTGTTTTATCTTTCATTTAATGGCCAAGAAAAAAAAATTATAACCAACGCTTGTAGGAAGGTTATAATATTAAATGAATTATGAATTTATGTTTGCAAATTTTTATTAGTAATGTGAACCTTTGCTCTTATAGCCAGAGAAACAAACATATTTTTTTAATTTGAAGGAATAGGTTTATTGTATTAATAGACACCAAAATTTGAAAGCAATGCTATATTATTTCAAAATAAAATAAAATAAAATATCTATGTATATACAGTATTATTTACAATTTATACAGTATAAAATGTACAATGAACATTTGTTTCGTCTATAAAACAATATATAGAAAAGTCAAACTCTAAAAACCAATACACTTTTTGATTACAAAACTATCCACTCACTTCAACTATAAACTTAACGTTCTGATTTATTCATGACAATGGTTGACAATTGTTCCATGGTGCATATTTCTTTTCAGTAATATCCCAAATCCCTCACGAGTTTTTCTACCGCGATCATGCTGACGAAGTAAGGACAACAATTTTGATATGGTTTGCTTCTAGGTGGTAGAAGCCGCATCCTCTTCGACCGAAGTGGTAGAGGCGATGGGCTTCTCTTTCTACAGTTGACGACCACCGGTGAAGAAGGTGGAGACAGGGTAAAAGAAGAGAGCGAACTCACAGAGTAGATGGAGCTAGAGGACATGTCGTCTAAGGAAGACTGTTCGTCCAACAGCCTGAAGACATCAGCCAAGCCCTCAACATCTCCTTCCGTTGGAAGTAGGAGCCGCTTCCTCTTCGGCCGAAGTGGTACATGCGATGGGCTTCTCCTTCCAAAGTTGATGACCACCGGCGAAGAAGGTGGAGACGGGTTAAAAGAAGAGTGCGAACTCAGAGAGTAGATGGATTTAGAGGACGTGTTTAGCGGATCTTCAATATTGGATTTGTCCACGGAAGGCTGTTTGTCCAACAGCCTGGAGACATCAGCCGAGCCCTCAACATCTCGTTCCGTTGGAAGTAGATCTCTCTGAAAACATTAACAACAATTTATAAATCAGAACATACAATTAATAATTATCTAAATATCCAATGATATAAAATTCATAAATTTATAAATTATGTAAATTAGATTGGCAGGTAATTATTGAAAACTATATACATTTTTTTGTTATAAATTTAAGTAGAGATTATATAAAAGATTATCAGTTGATCAGAACCTATATAAATGTAATGTGGGACTAGGACTGAACATTATGTATCAGTTTTACTTGATAATAGACTCAAATAATCTTTTTTTGAAAACTGTATTCAATATTGGGTGGAAAAATGTAGACATAGTAACTAACTCACCAATTCAAACATCTTGGTAGACTGAGAACAGACTTGAAAGTAACTTACATGGGTACTTCGCCGGGTCCCTTTATACCCGGGCTAGAGAGGGAGGGGAAAGGTTCCAACAGGTCAGAAAAGGCAGTTCAATGCTCTATTTAGAAGTAAATATTTTCTTGAAATCAGTATATGTAATTAATTTGCTAACCGTTATAATAATGCATGCATAATCTTGTTTAATTATAATAATCATGTAAAAATATTTTAAGAGGTTTAAGATACTTGTGCCTTTATTTCTTCAGAACTAGAGTCATTAAATTAAATAAAAAATGAATATTTCCTTGAATCTTTTCATACATTCATTCATTCATTAAAACTTGGAATATTTATATATATATATATATATATATATATATATATATATATATATATATATATGTTATATCATTCTAGAAATACGAAATAATGATAAGGGAAAAACCGAGACTAAATTATTAAAAATCAGGTTGTTGAAACATTTTAAATACCTTTTAAACTCGTCAACTACAATGGGAGAGATGCAAGCTACACACAGGAGAGAAGCAAAATTGGAAAAATTAAGGTTTTTAATTAGGATTTTGTATGATAAATAATCTTTCAAGAAAAGCCAAAATTAGACAGTATGAAACAGTCATATAACTGGTGATACTCTATGGGACGGAGACAATGGAATTTATCAATATGAAGTCATCACTGCAAACAGAAAGAAAGGTTCTGAGAATAATATACAGGCCAAGAAATGTGGGTGAAGAATACCGATTAAAAATAAAGATGAGCTTCTGAAATTCTTTGAACGTATGAAGGGAATGGATCTGAATAGGCTGAACAAACAAATATTCGATAGCGTAATGGTTCTGATGAACATAAAGTTATAACAGAAGGGCATACGAAACAAATAAAAGAATAAGTGAAAAAAGTAGTTGTCAAGATAGGGATAGATTCGAGAAAATAATGAAAAATATAAAGATTTCATTACTTCAAAAAATGTAATGAATAAAAAAATTGGAATATTTTAATATAAAAAGAAGGAACAAATGGACAGGCGTGAGAAGGAGGGGGATAGAAGAAAAATGAATAGAATTTGGACATATATGAAAAAGAAAAAGACCTGGAAGTGATATACGCCTGATACATCGTTGACCTGTACCACTATAAATAAAATATATATATATATATATTCTAATTGTATCTCACACGTGAAAGATCCATCATTTTATTTCTTCAGATTTGAAATGATCTGTATGGATTTTTACATGCTGTTTTTAAGTGTTTAAGAACTTACGACAATTATACGAAGAAACCAAACGATTATCATGATAATAAACTTTAAAAGTTGGTATGTATATTTAGCCACTTCATGTAAATCATAAATTGTAATTGCAAACCACTATTTATAAGCTTTTTTGACAAATACTTTAGATCGTATCATTACAGATGTACTAATTTGTAATGTTAAGTAAATTCGTGATATTAATCAATATTTTATTTATTTAGAAAATATAATAATTATGGAGACACATCTGAGAGCAAAATTAATCACTTGATCACAGCACAGTATTTATGAAATCTGTGTCATTTTTAACGCAATGCAGATATTGATATTTCTTGAGAATGATTAGTTTAAAAAAATTGTCTTTTATTACTGTTATCAGCTGGAGTTTCTGGTATTAAAAGGGGCATTTTTATAATCGATTTAATAATTAATAAATTATTCAAAATATCTTTATTCTATTTGGTTCTATTACTTCTGAGCATTTTTATTTATTTTGTTCATAAGTCCTAAGGGAGGTTTTTATTTAGTTTTATTCCTCATAATTTTAAAAATGTGGTATTGAATCTTTTACTTCTGAGTCCAATGTTCTAAATCGTACAACAATTACCGTGGACGAGAGATCTTCAAAAATAAGGATTGGTAGAAATAAATACTTTAAGAAACGTATTTCCTTTTTTTGTTTCAGATAAGCTCCTTGTGTACGATCTTTACTTTTAAAAATCTTTCTAATGAATAATTTATAGTACGATTGAGTGTTGAATTTTGAAAACTGTTAAACAAGAAGCATTACGTTTATGATAAAGAATACTTTAGATAATTCCATTTCAGCAGTACTAATTTAAAATATAACCAACAATTCATGATATTATTCAGTATATTCTTAATTGGGAAAGTAATAAGGATGGAGGAATTTCTGTGCAACACCTCAATTAACCACAACACTTTATTTAGGAAATCTGCGTCATTTTAATTGTAAACAAATGAAAGATTATAAATTACAATGGAAAGTATTTGCCTCATAAAGTCATAAAGTGTCCTTTTATTGCTGTTACCTGCAGGGTGCGATGACCCGGGCAACCCCTAGGCCTTTCGGCAAAAGAAACTTTCGGTAATATACCATCTAGATTAGTAGGAAACAAGTTCCTGACAGGTAAATGCCATCCTATCCTAGGAGTACAAGGCTAGGACCACTTCTGAACTTGAGTACCCCTATTCCTTTCAAAGGTTCTATAAAATAGTCTAGATAGTCTATGGTAAATAGTAAATAGTCTATTGTTTGGGTTCTATAAAATAGTCTAGAATCAATGGCTAAAGCTGACAAAAAGCGAAATTTTTTTTACCTGCATTCCACCCTGGAATTTTTAGGGTATCGTTGTGACGTATTGCACGACCCTGAGTCATTCAGTTCATTTTTATTGCCATTTGCAACCCACTAATAAACAGTGTACCGAAAGACCTGAAGGTCTACTACCATATAATGCAGACTTTCCATTTTTGTAGGAATATATATAAAAATAAAATTGCATATATGGTGAATATATATTTTTGTGAATGCCAAACTATACATCCTAGGAGAGTGAAATTGGACTTAACTGAAAATTAATCTTTATTTAATAAATGAGAGTAATTATTTATAAGGTGTGAAAATATTTCCATTCGCTTCTGTAAATTTAAGCGCATTCGTCTTAATAAACGTGAATTCATTTTTACTAGTGTAAATACAGCCATATTCATCACTTTTACAATGGTAAATACGGGCATATTTATATTTGCAACTGGGAATACGTATCATATTTATTCATATTTCTTTTTGTGAATATAAATATATTCACACAAGTGCTATAAATATATATGGTATTCATATTTATATTTTTGAATATAAAGGAGGAGGTTACAGCAAACTACTTGGGTTGAGCAAAATATTTTTATTTTTGCAATGGGAATTCTCTCAATATTTCATCAGATATAACACCTTTGATACCATGTTTTGTAAAACGTGATAAATAAAAATTTTTTGTTCTTAATTTTTCAAGCTGAAAAATTGCTTACTTTACTGGATATGCTATGTATTTTTTTGTAATTTAATGTACATTTGATTTTTTTTTTTTAATACGTTTAATACAATCTGCAATATATTTTTCTTATTTTTCCAAAAGACAACAACAAATGGATTGATATATTATAACCGAAAGATCCATGCTGATCAAAGGGAGAAAGCAATAATATTAAAAAATGTTAAAATTTTATATTTTTATTTCTCGGTTCCAAGATTTCGTTGGCATTTACCCGCAGGCATGGATCTAATAATTTTCGACCTAGCATCACCAAAAAAAGTTCATTGAAAACGGTGATCCTACGTCCATAATCTCCCATTGTTAAAGTTTAACATAGCGTGGTAAAAAAAAAGTCATCTCTGAAGAAGTGTTTGTAATTTTTTCAAGTTTAGGAAGTGATTTTATCATGGGGAAATTAGAGTAAGTGAGAGAATAATAAACCAATGCTCTTTTGCGCCAATTTGAAAGGCCTAGAACGATTATAATAATTAATTAGTTTAAGTTCAGATATAACTGTATCTTGTGGCTTTGCCATAAAACTGGAAGGATATTTTCCAATGGCACTAGCTAATCTTTTATTGTTTCTATATATTTTATGTGTTGAATAGACTATCATAGTAATATTGTATTGTATATAGCTTAGGTAGGGATTCTTGGTATCATATGGAGATATATATATTATTACATTAAGGCTCGAGATCGGTTTTGTACCAAATATAAACTCCTGTCATGCTCAAATACCGTGAATGGGGTACCGTTGGATTCAGAATATCACGGGGAGGGAGGGGGGGGGGGGTAGCGAATCATATTATCCGCTTTTGTTTTTCTTTCTAAAATAAATAAAGTCGATACAAACATTTTGCTAGGCTTCAATACTGGAACGGTGGTCGGTCTGTAGATCGATGCGGGACAAATTGGACCTTAAAGATTTTGATGCGTACAACGATACAACGATAAAAATTGGTTCCGAGTTCGCATCCGGGTGCCGGAGGAGTCTTTTAGATCCACACCCACACTCCCTGGCCCGGGAGAACCCCGTATAGCCTTAAAGGCCAGGACCAAAAAAAGGGGTGGTTCAATATCTATATTGGAAGGACATAATTTAGAGCAAGAGAAATTTACAAATTTAACAGTTAGTAGAAAAGACCTTTTTATTCTCGATAAAAAGGAACTTTAATTTACATCTATCCAAGTTTTTGCCTCTTCAGATTTTATAAGTAATTCAAATCCTCATTCGCTATATGGCAGTGTACCGACTTGCACACTTAGTCACAGAACAAAACAGAATCCAAGACCCCAAGATCATCTTTTACAAATTTACTAGTTTCACAATCATTACATTTTTATGCGTATTAATAATTAATTATTGATTTCTTTCTCTCCTTGGTCTTCAACATTTAATTTTTTCTTGACTTTATTGATGGTCTAACTCAGCGGTGGTATCTCCAGGGGAGAATATTGTGTTTGGATGTTCCGAGTTGCTTAATGATGGGATACGCATCCTCTTCAAACGGAACGGTAGAGGAGATAGAATTTTCTCTCCGCAGTTGGACGCTATTGGCGAAGAACAGGAAGACCGGTTGAAAGAAGACAACGAGCTGTCAGAAGTGAGGAACCTGGACGACGAGTATTTAAGATGCCCGTCGATTCCTCTTCGGATGTTTCTT